CTTGTTGGAGATTTCCTTGCACCCACTTTTGGTTCCTCCAATAAGCGACTAAGTCCCCAGGTTGGAAAGGAGTGCTTGTGCGGGGTCTGGCCAACAGGGCAACACGAAGTGACCTGTCATCTTGCATCTTCACGAGCGCAACACGAGCGGCGGTTCTCATCGCTTGGGCACGAGCAAGGCCTTCATCAGTTAAGGCTGCGGTGCTAGCAATCACGGATTGTGGCTCATTCAACAAGTCATGAGGGATGTGAGGATTTCTGCCAAACACGAACTGGTGAGGGGAGAATCCATGGACCTGAAGCATTTGGTTCTTCACATGGGCATGAGCTACACAATCTAACCATGATTCCTTGCTGTTCGGTTGAAATTCATCAATGAGTTTTTCCAGGACTCGATTGAACCAACCGCCATGAGATTCACACTTGCCTAGTTGCCAATGAGCTCCGGCAGCAATTGTGCGAACATGGATGCCATCTGCTTCGGCAGGTTTCATCATTTGTTCACCTAAATTAGTTCTAGCAGGATCGAGAACTAACTCCTTTGGGGCTCCAGCCCAGGCAATCCAATGTTCATGCAAAAGCTTCCGAAGGACTGAGGCAGTCTCGGTCTCAAAGAATGGTATCATCCTCTGGAACCCACTCGCTGTGTCCACCAGGTTCACGGCGCGAATCTTTTGATTGGGAAGCCAACCCTTCAAGTGCTTCACATCCATTCCTACCTGATGATTGAACTCGGACACGCGATTTGGTTGGGTTGGCAACGGCGATGTGGGAGGAGCCTGGCTCTTACAGAAGTCACACGAAAACTCTTTCGCCAGCCGGAGCGCTTGTTCTGATGCGTCTCCATGTTTCAAGATTCTCACCATGTCATGGTTTGGAGGATGTCCCAAGTTCTTATGAAGGCGAATCAAAACTGGCATGAGTTCCTGATCGGACTTGGCCTGACTCTGAGCGGCGGCTAGGATCTCAGTCCACGCATCGGGATGCACAGCATCCTCTAGCACTTCTACTAGACACGCAGGGTGTGCTCGACAGGTGTTAGACGCACCATGTTCTGGATGCTTCTCCCTGAACTTGGCAAGAGTGTTTAACACGGCTTGAACAAATTCTCTAGGATACTGACCAGCATATTCGCTGACCTTGGCAACCCCTGGAGCATGACCAGCTACGGTGTCATGACAGCTGTGCTTAGCATCACCTGTACAGAGAAGTCCTAAAGACTGCATATCGGAGTGCGAAACTAACAGACGGGCGCTCTTACGAATGTAGTGCTCACTGGATGGCAGGCGCAATCCATACCTGCACATGTGCAACTTGACTGTTTCGAATACCCTACACAAACTCTGCATTTCTGGATATGTCCAAAGCCGGGAACCCGTTGGATGTTCAAACATTGCTCTACCACCATTCCTGGTCTGAAGTCGAAACAACTTGCAACACCAACGAATGTACGATCGGCTTTGTGCTCGACGTTTCAGGTATTCCAGTCGATCGCCCTTAGTGCTGTTTAGGTGCACCCATCCGCTCTCATCCGTGCAAGGCGGACACAAGACCAAAAGCTCTGGCGGATCTGTGATCAAATCCTCTTCCACCAGCTTCCTGTCCCGAGAACGACGAAAATCGAATCCGGTCTTTAGGTCATATGATCGCGCACGGAAGCCGGCTTCTTCGGCTTGGATGGCAAAACGTGGTGGGGGAAACACTTCCATAACCAAACATTTACCCCTGGGCCGAGCATGCACTGCTAAACATGTCTTCACCTGCGTGTCGGGATTGATGTGAAGTCAGGTTCAAACTAGATCCATGCTCATCACGTGAGGGATGCGGCACAAACGTGAACACCGTTCGAACATGAGCGAATCTCCCTGGCAAACGGTTGATGATCTTATGTTGGGGTGTCCCTGGATAGACCCTCACATCATCAAGAACCCTCCTAGATTCACAATCAATCACCTTCCTACGGACAACGCTATTCCACTTGGGACCAGTTCTTGACAACCACGGTGTACTAACAACATCACTATTCTCCTGGGTCCAAGTCAGCAAGGAAGGGGCGGCAGGATCAGGTTCACAGGCAATCTCGTCGGCAGGCACGGATGCTGTGGTGCCTGCTGAATCCGGAGGTGCAGTGTTGGACTCCGGTTCAACATCGGGAGCCTCCACTGAAGCCATCACCTCATCGAAAGAGGCAGCAAACACTGGGTCCGCTGGCTGTCCTACCAAGTGAACAATGTACTGTCCGGCACTGTTGGTCTTGAGTGGCACCACTTGTTGAAAAACATGTAAACAGTCTTTCTCAAAATTCAACGTTGCCCCCAAGGCTTTCAATGCTGATCTGCTCAACAACAGGGGGGCGTCCCCCTTGATGATTGCTGCTTTGATCACTCCTCGCTTGGATGCCAGAATGACTGGCATGGCCACCGAATGGGTTGAGGTCTCAATATCACCATTCCCAAACTTAAACTGGTGGATCTCTTCCGTCCATGGAGGGACGGCCCACCCACGCTGTCGCCACAGGGTCTCAAAACAACGAAGGGTGTTGATTCCAACAATCGTTCGGCCACAGCCTGAATCCAGCACGGCATAGCCGGGGGATGATACCAACAAGGTCTCTTCCGGGAGGGGATGCGAAGCAAACAAGGAGTCCTGCCGCTTTTGTCGGACCTGCTCAAGAAGGGTGAGTTGGGGAACCACTGATGCAACAAAATCCAACTCTTCAACGGCAGCAATACCTGTGGTCGAGGCATCATTGGACTTTGAGGAGGAGGATGCGCCTTTCCCTGAGCCCTTCTTGTTGACCTCCTTGGAACGACACTCCCGGGCCCAGTGACCCTTCCTACCACAGCGATTGCATGCAGTGTGCCTTTTCATTTCTTCCACTTCCACCCGAAAGGATCTTCGGACGTCCTTGGCCTTGTTGAACTGTCGGGATTTCTGAAGCTTGTTCAACTCCTGTCGACGTTCACGTGGCGGCCAGGACTTCTGCTACTTCTGACTCCTGAAAGGTGTCTCCATCACCAGTGAAATCTGAGGCCAGCTGGTGATCCTCAAGTAGCTGATCAACATCGGAGAAGTGCTCTTCCCACAAGTCGGACGGATCTTCGGCTTCTGGGTCAGCGTCTTCCGCCAGGGCAATGGCGGTACGCCTTTTGGTAATCACCAACTCCGGGTAGCAGGACCGTAAGGCAGCAGCTATGGATTCTCTCTTCAAGTCTCCTCGAGCTCTAGAAATCACCACAGCTTTCTGCTCTTCACTAAGGCCAGCTCTATGGAGAAGGAGCCAACCACGAGCTTCATCGGGAAACTGGACACCGGTCTTCCGGTAGCATCGATCGAACAGTTCCGAGGCTCGGGCAGTCCATTGCTTCATATTCTCACCTTCATTGGATCGAAGGTGAAATACCTGACCCAGAATCTCCCCTAACTCGTCCACAGTCTCAAGCTGTGGAAACCTCTTGTCCAACAATTCCCAAAGTACTTGGTCACCATCTTTCTTCTGATACAGCGCTGGATCAACATGTTCCACCGCCTCCAAAGCCTTGCCACTCAAAAGAGTGTAGATGTAAGCGCCCCGTGCGCTCTCAGGAAGCTTGTCCAAAGTCAAAAACTTGTTTTTAACCCAGGTCTTCCACCGCTTATATTCGCGGCCATCTTCATTTTCACCTGAAAACCCTCGAACCGCAGCGCTATCGGACGCGCTAGCCGCTGCAGCCATGTCACGTGTGAGGACCTCCACCGAGAGGTCGTGCAATCAAGCAGCCATGGCGGGAGCCGGGATACCCGGCTCCGCTACCAATTGCGGAGTACAAGATTCCTCCCCTGAGGAACTACGATCGGGCGTTCCTTTCACTCGAGCATGGAAGTCCCTCGACCGACCGCCGAAGTCACGTGTGGACAATTCGATATGTATGTATGTATGTATGTATGTATGTATGTATGTATGTATGTAT